CTATCAAGTTATAAATCGGGCATACAAAATTGAGTCGTAATTTTGAGAATGTCGATAACTAAAGCACCGCATGGTTGGGGTCTATAAATAGCTGAAATTTTTATCGCCGCCTACGAGAGGCACAGAGTTATTCAAATACTACCTCTAAACTAGTGGTTTTAGAGCAATTAGATGGTAACTTGTCTTATGAACGCGTTGAGTAAAAGAGGGTGAAAAAATGGTATCCAAACTACCATATACTAGAAGATCAATATTTCCCACCCCTACATATTTGATTGAGTCTCAGGACGCTCAGAATTATTCTCTTGAAGCGAATAGACGATAATGGTAGAATTCTTTACACAAGTCTCGAAGTGGGATATTAGTAGTATAGAGGAAAGAAAATCTGCGAGATTTGTATCATTCGGCGTGATACTGCTAATTTTGTTTTGGAGAAGCTGAAAATATATTCACTCAGCAGCAATACCTGAGTAAAATCGCTTTCATATTCATAACGATGGTAAAGTGAATCAAGGGTTGGACTAACAATTCGCTCTCTCCAAACCGCAATCGTCCTCCTCGGAAGCTTTCCGTGTCCCAAGGATCATTCGCTGTAAGTCCAAAGTGATCGTAGAGAGTTTGTGAATTTAGTCATAATAGTGGCTTTAAAGTTTACCAAGAAGACTACGTGAGCCGATGGATTAGAATAGCAAGTATTGTTGTGCCCACAATTGATTAGCTTCAGGATAGACGAGGGCAAGAAAATTGTGTTTGAACTACTGGCTAACTTGAGTGAGTTCTTTAATTATTTTGACATCTAGGTAGGAGGATTGATGCGCTCGCAATCTTTGATGAAATGATCCCCTTTACCGAAAATAAGAGACAAGTTATTTTTTGAATAAACCCTTCGCTCGGCATCCGATGAGAAATGTCTTCTGCATTGATGAGCCCATCTTGGCTGACTTGTTGTTCCGATACCGGAGAGAATTGAGTGTGAGTCAGATTGGTCTCCATGCCACCCTTGGATTCATGTGTATGTGATAGAACCAATATAAAGACACATCGAGGCGGGTTTCTGTAAAAAATATCGAGTGCAACGTTGTGGAATAGATAAAGCCTAACGGAGTAAATGGTGATCTGAAATTTCGCGTACTTCGGTAGATGAGCCAAGGCCATAAGTGTGGGCTCCTCGCGCGCCATTCATGAACAAAGCGTCACCTCGCGCTGCATCCGAAACCTGGCTAGAGAGTGGAATTTATTGTAGAGCGTGGAAACTGCCAAAAAAATTGTCTGTATCGATAGAGATTTCTTTAACTGAGCTTCTTATGACTTGTTGATCGACTATTTTATCCTGCTTCGTGAACGTTCTGGAGCCGTCACGATAACAGCAGCATGAGATGAGCTTTGGACTATAATATGATACCAAGCTCTTGAAATTCTCCTCGCATTACTCCAACTTTTTGACTGAAGTCCATGAAGAGGCTGGCGGGATACATCATTGCACAAAGAACATTTTAAGCTCAAATGAGATAGCTCTGCGATGAGTGCGATAATCGAGGGTCTTGCAGGGGAAGAATAGACCCCGAATCCCATGCAAAATTATTGAATTACGAAGTTTCCAAAGCCTCATTATGCTTGAGGACAAGCCCAGAGGGCAAGCTGATGGATTTGTCGTCTTCAAGACTATTTCAAAACGCGAGTACATAGAGCATTGATACCGGACTGAGAATCCAATAGGTCAGTAGTTATGAGCGACACAGAGGCATGGCCAGGCTTATTTTCCAGCAGGCTCAGAAATTGCGCATTGGGTGGTTTTTCGGGGATGTTTTGATGTTGAAAATACAGGCGAGAGGCGAACTGCAAACCTTACAAATTTAATTGATTAAAAACATGGAACGTTCTGAGGAACTATCCTGCTTTCCCCGAGGACGCCATTCTCACCGAATTTCACAGATCTTAGTCTGATTTGTGGGCTATCGAGAGTGAGGCTACTTTTGCACTAGATGGCCCAGGACCATAACATGCTATGTGCAGAGACTATTCCCACTCGACCTGTGCGAACCGAGCTTTGATGACCTGCGAAATCTTCTGGTGCTCATTTTGGCGCATCGCTCGCACCCCTAACACTAGAAATAACACACGCACAACGCTTCAGATGATGAAAAGAAACTGCCATGCCCAGAAAATTTTTCGGCCGCGTGGTTCATGGCCCCATCAGGTGGATTCTGTGACAAGGATAAAGGCTGATACTGTTATTTTCCTTGATTTAGACTCTTACCGGAAACGGAGTGTTTTTTTTTACGTCGTGCCAGCTCACAAAACGACCGTAAACTAGAAACAAAGTTGATGTCAAAGCTTGTTGTAGACACAATTCATGTGACTAGGAGTTGGGGCCATATGGGTCTCGCGTACTATGTTCGTATTTCGTTACTAGAAACGCCAAGGTTAGAGTGAGGAGAGAACAACAGATATATCGACTAAGGTTGTTTAGGTTTATTCATGGACTCCTTAGGCTAGAGTAGATGCAATCTATCTCATAGCTATATTTACAGTCTAGAGTGTCAACCCCAGGCTTGAATTAAGAATGATTCCCTACATATGCACAGGTGTGCTCAGTTGTTCTCTAGAAAATCTACCGGCCCTCTGGATAATTATGTATATTTTTTTTGATTTGGAATCTTTTCCCCAAATGGCATACTTTGAACATGGTCACCCTCTCAACTCCAGAGGCATAATTGTCGCGCTGCTTTTGACACAGGTGGATAGCAAGATTTTCAAGTAATGCTAATTATTTATTTTTTATTAAAATTGTGGCTACTCTATAGCCATCCCTATTTTTTTCACTTTGCGCACTAACAACAAGCTATTCTGTCGCATACGATATTAAAATCTCGTTTGAAGAGCTTTTCCTATAAATGAATTTATGTCTCAAAGATAACTGCACTCAATGACGCCCCAGTCTAAACATGTCTATATCAAATTCATGACATATAGGCTAGTTGACCATGGATTCTATTGTCTGGATTGATTTCCTTAGATATTACTGGAAATCGAAGCTACCTACAATTTTCGGGGTAATTTAGATTTGGCTTGAATAGTTAAAATCTAATTACAGTCTCTCAGCTCAGTGGTGAGAAGTTTGATGAAAAATGATAGATCCGTTGAATCCATTTCGAGTTTACCTTCTTGTGAACATCTTGATAGAGGAAAATATAGGTCCTTGTATATAATTCTAGATTTCGGGACCTCTAGTGTATCACCTATCCATTGAATAAAATAGTCATATATGGAATTAGATACGGCCAGTATCAAGTAAGGTGCAAACGACAAAATTTTTTGAGCATTAGCACGACTTGTTCAATCGGATGGAAACTAAACTAACCACGAAAACTTGTTTGTAGCTTTCACCCATGTTGGTCTAGAGTATTGGCAGTGCTAATTTTGCCTTAGAGACCACAAGGTAGACATTACGGGCGACAATTTGATCGAAGCCATCTAATCATTAATGACCTCATTCTAAACCAAGCTGATCTTTCGACCTTTTGGACTCCAACATGACCGGTTACAGCGCTGTAGATAGCTACCGGGACTCTCAAGTTACAGCGCACATTTTTTGCGGGGCAAAACTTTGGGATGCGGATGAGGGCATAAAGTTAAGGAGGGATTCGACTTGCGAAACCGGAGTGGTTTGGACTTTCGAAAAGGGTTTGAATCTTTGTGAGGCGCGCGCACATGTATGGTCCCTGATTGTGGGAGTGCAGACTATGGGGTAGAATGAGCGGCGGCAGCGTCGTGGTCCATCGTCCAGGCTTGGCTCGCCCAAGGCGCGCCGAAATAGTCACTGCAAGCAATCCACTCAGAACGGGATGTTAGTGAGGCCAAGTCTCTCACGGCGATGTGTGGGGACTGATAATGATAGACTAGGATGTTTCAAGGGCAGTCGTGCCTTCCTTGGGGTCGGATATTGATGTTCAAGAGATGGGTTAGATTGATAGACTCCACCGTAAAGAGTCTCAGTGAGTGCAGTCATGGCTCCACAGTTGAAATCAAATCACCTTTCTGTAGGCATAAGCATCAGTGCAGGACAAGTCTGCCCATGCCGTAGGCGTGGAGAACTCCTACAGGTAGGCGGTTAATACTATCATCATCGACGCAGCTGGGATAGAGGTGGACTTAGCCTACAAACAAAGATAACCCACGAGTATGGCATAGTCTTGGGCTTGATGGCCGGGCAAAATATGGGCTGCTAAGATGGCGGCGGGATCAACGGTTCAGCCTTGCATCCGCTTCTTCAATTGTCCTTTGAGCCCAAGAGAAGAAGGGATGGAGAGAAATGTCCGTTTGCCGGTGCATGTCTGCAGCAGCTCGGGCGAGTGGTGCGAGCGACAAGTATTGGGCTAGACGGGCCAGGGACTGGCTCATTCTAGCGGCAGGAGGAGATGGAGAATGGCTCGAAATCAGTATTTCCTTATCTCCAGGAGCAAGTCGGGGTGGAGGGCGTGGTTTGATTGATTTGCAGCTCAGGGCAGCACAGGGCAGGGGAATACCTCCGGGCCAGGTTCGTCAAAGGCAGGGCGCACGGGAGCTGAGTCTCCGCAGACCCCCAAGACGGTGGAGGGTCGTGAGTGGGCTGGCTGCATGAAATCCAGGTTGGACTCCCTGGTCGGCGCCTTGCCTAGTCGGGAAGCTCTGGGCCATGCTTCCAGCCGAGTCGAGCAAGGAGCGAAATGGAGGGCATCCCTGATCATAACGGTTGGCAACTGGAGGGGCGTGGAAAGTCTATTCCCTTCAGGATTTGCGAGGCCGACATTCGACCTATAGCATCGTGCGTACCAATGCTACGACACCATTTCTCTGAACCTATGCAATTGTATATAAGCCATCTCCATCTGGCTCTCTCCGGACTATCCTCACCATCACTTTCGAGCATCCAAACATCTTCACTCTCGAACATCCATACATCTTTACTTTCGAGCATCCAGACATCTTTTATATCTACCGCTCAATTCATCATCAGCATCATGCCTGTCAGCCTCTCTCGCGCACTCTTCGACCTTGGTCTCGATGAACACCTTGCTGCATTCTCCGGCGCTGGATATTCTAGCTGGGAGAAATTGACAACCATCACTGAGCAAGAATTAGCCGCGCTCAACATTCGCCCCGGTAACAGGCGAAAGCTACAAAGGGCCATTGCGCGATCATTAAATTGGCCAGACAATCGGCCATTACCATCACCAGCTGAGCTTGACCGTTTTCGTCGCAGCTAATCACTTTCAAGATAATTTTTAAATTCAAGTGAGTGCTCTGACTGCCTTGCAATTTGGACACCTGGCTAATAGTATTCAAGAACAAGACCACCGCGTCAATAATTAGGGGTGACCCGCCGTGATCTGGGCCGCGGAGGGTCAGGAGACGGAGTTTGATTATACCATTGATTCACCTTTTGCTGGCACGATGTGACGAATTAGGGGCGTTGGAGCCAATGGGAAAAGCTAGGAGCATAAAATTCGGATTGTGCGTCATGCATTTTCTCTCCTGGGCGAAATATGCTTGTTTCGATGGCGATTTTACCGTAATTTTGGGCCGATCTGCGAATAATGCGTCGTTTGGAGGGAGAGGAGGGTCTGCTGTCAGCGCTCGGATAATAGCCTTGACAAACAGTTTACTCGTCCACTTACTCTACCTTGCCCTGCCATGTGACTCGCTTCTACCGATCTGACGTGAAGGCGCCAGGCCACCAGGCCACTGTACACGGAACCTATTCTGCAGATGAGCCCGGGTGGCACTCGGCGCCTCTTGCAACAAGTGACCTGGCTACTAATTGGCTATTACACACGCGGCGGTGTTTGGAGAAACGGAACTGGGTAGGTGAGGCTCGTCCTCTGGGGCACTGCTTCAAACAATGCGAACTCAGGGACGGGGTCGACACTGACTTACGACCCTTTGACGTGTTTTACATTGTTATCATCCTTGTCCCTGTCTAGGCGCAAATATGCCAGGTCCAGAGTAGCTTTGGCCTGAGTGCGGAGACGACTCGCGAAGATGCCTTTGGAATGCTACGTATCAAGGGTAACGACGAATTATGTTTGTACCATAGCCTGATATGGATGTATAGCTAGATGGCATACTAGTTGTAAAAAGAGATAAAAAACGGCATGTCAAAGATGCATCAGTCAGCCACCCTTCCTTCCACTTGGCCACAGCGATGCTGGCAAACCTCGCTCACCTTTCCGGTGTCTCACCCCTCGTAGTTTGCGCGGTGGGGAGTCGAGTGCTAGCAGCAACAGTCCGGCGCAACCTTGCCTGCGCCGGAAATTTTCACAGTTATGGTGGGTACGGGCTAGATCGTGGGTTGAGAGGGATGACCGTCGTGGGTCCAGGAATTCTTCTCGACTCTCGGCCAACTGATATTGCGTGCAATGCCCGTCGCACGGTTCCGCTCTGACATCTACCTATCAGCCAGCATTAGGAGACAATTTTCCGCCCGACTTGGCAATTCATCTCAGGTAGCGGAAAGATTATCCGCCAGCGACAGCTCGAGGGCTCATGCTGACCGACGCTCACAACTCATCAGGCGCCTAGCCATTGCTTGGACTGGTCGCCTTGAACCCCGAGATATGCAGGTTGAGGAGCGTAGATAGAGACGCCAATCATCTTGGCCGTGGCAGGTGAGCGGTTGGAAAGGTAGACAAATTGATTGATATAAATTCAATTCTCCACTGAGTCCTAGACTGTGAAACTAATTAGGGATCTGACTAATCAGCTCCTTGATTTACTCTTTAAGCTTTCCATAGAAATATCACATTTTATGCCAGTTGATCTTGAAGGCAGAGGTAGACGAAGTTTTGGCTATCGCAGGCAGAGATGAGCTGAAGAGAGGGGCGAATGGGTCGATATCTGTCTTAGTATCTACAGCTTCTGTGAGCACCGTGATGTGCGCGCCCCTTTCACACTAATATAGTCTGCTCTCGTGGCACTCCCACGAGTCATCCTTCTTAGCTCGCTCGTGTAAAGTCGACTCTCCGAATCTCGTCTGCTTCCGCTGCCACCTAGAAATCAGCTTGTTACTACCGAGTATGTCGCGTCTCCTCGCCCTAACTACTCCACGTGGAGACAGCAAGAGACGCGAGTACTTGTCGCTGCTTCTCCTATGCCATCTCACAAGTTTGGGAAGGGCGCCTCGCGCCATCTGAGCTCGACTGCTACTCACTGAAAGGGAGCAAGACAAACTATGTGACTGCAGCCAGATGTGCTGTAGGCCCAAGGCGATCTGAGGCTCGAGCCCTTTCATGCTGGCGCTCAAGGGAAACTGGTAGTTGGAGTGAAGCCATAGAGTAAACGGTGCGCAGGTAGTCAATGTGTTCATCAGCTCCGGGCTCGGTGGGATCAGCTCAACGATTCGTCATTTTGCACTCCGCAGAAGTCTAATGATGCCGAAGAAAAGTGCGATATGCACTTTGCAAGTGGGATATGACTTTCCCATCCCAATGTCGATAGGTGCAGTATCGGAAAGTAGAATCTGCATGTCTGGGGGGCGGCATGGGAAACCGACAATGCGAAAGTCGATGGGTGAGACATGGGAAAGTTGAATCCCAATGTCCATCGAGGCCTAATCGGAAAGTGCCATCCCAGCTCTCATGGTGTCCCAGTCTGGCGGGGGTCAGGCAGTGAGACCCCAGCAGATCTTCGGAACACGTGCTGCATGTCGACATTGAAGAATGGCCCAGACCCCGTTCCAGAATGCCCCGTTTCAGAATGCCCCGCGGTGGCCTGCTCGGCCAATTCAGGGGCCAGGACCTGCCCCTGCAACGCATCAGTGGCCACCGCCGCTTATCTCGACCGGCTGCTCACCGAGTCCATTTGTCGCTACTCATCATGCCCATGCCACACGCATCAACTCTTGCGCCCACCACCGACAACACCATACCACCCTGTCCACACTTCACCGACGAATCAGTGGCTCAGGTAGTCGAAACGACTGTATACGGTCGGCGGTGTAACCAAATTCGCTCACGCCTAGCTCCAGTCGAGAAAGAAGGCGGGAGACACCGCTTGTGGACGCTGCCTTACCTCACCACCACCTCAGGTCCCCTCACGAGATCTTGCCTCACGCACAGCAACCCTCGAATTTCGCATCCTGCCACTTCGAATCCATAGCTAGTGGCAAGACCCTTAGATTCAGCACTGTGCCCGTCCTCGCGCTTCGCCTAGGATGGTTCGGGTACCTCGCAAAGAAGGGACAACTTTTGCGCAGGATATTACAGATAGAGGCATAATCCTAGCCGCCATGAAGATATCATGGATCGCGGAGCCTTCAAAACGCGGTCAATCGGGGAAGTCCAAGGGTAAAGTAGAGCCAACAAGTGGCCAAAAGGTTCAAAGTAAACTTAGTCCCTGAGATGACAGGCACCTAGCCTGCTAACCCATCGACCGCCGCCATGATCATAACGCGAGTGGTGAGATGGAGTAGCCTGCTTGATTTGTTTCTTGTTCTAGGGCAGAGTGCGTAGTAACTCCCGAGGATTTGGGGCTGTATCTTCACATCTGATATCCATCAGCCTATAATAGACGAGGAATGCTAGTATTATTGTAGACCACTTGAACACCTTCTCCATCATGGCGTTACTCTATTTCATACGCAGCCCTGTCTCAACTCCAGCCAGTCCTATCACGCAAGAGTACCGAAGATAGTCGTATTACTTCTTGCGCCAATCTCCCGCGTGAAAATTTTGCACGTCCTTACCCACTACTGGGGAGATTGTGGGCCAGTTGGTGCAAACCGCTAGCCATAGACTAGCACAGGATCTAGAATATTTTCGCCGGCGAAGAAAAACAATTTCGGGCAGTTTTTACGTATAATTGACTCCAGTAATGAGACAGTCCAGCTCCACTCTGAGCACAGGCGTTCTACGTCAGGTGGTCAAAGTCTTCAACTTAGAAGAGCATGGTGCGCGTCATGATTTAGTGTGTGAGACCCAGCGCGACACTGTACACTCCGGCAGAGATAACGGTCGGATGGTGCAATGGTCACTATCATTGCTGGTCTGCCAAGCTATTTCGCAAACTTGCGACTTTTTATAAGCGAGGCATTATCTTGCTTGATGCAATTGAACGGACCATTAACACATTCTTCTTACCGACGCTTTTATATAGGAAACCTGCTGTGCGCGTGCGCGTCTTAAACTGTTAGAATCTAAAATTCATCATTCTACCAAACTCGCGATGCTCTTGTATAGTGTGACACGGACGTGCTTGAGTAATCAAAGGTTTTGACATCTCTTTTTTTGCAAACTCACGCACAAGCGCTAATCTACAGACAAATAAATACACTTCATAGAGAAATATGCGAATGGACTCGAGAGTATGTGTGTTGCTAAAGCCAAGAGAATTATTTAATATACACCTAAGAGACTGGTCATATGTCATAGCTAGATGGCGACGCTCATCTTCTCTGGTCAAAATGCGCGTCATCCAATCTCCCTCTCCTCTGGATTCGCGAAAACTACGCACAAACGTACAGGTAACTTAGACCTATCATATTCTCGAGGAGAATGTATGCCCTCGCAAGTCGCCAAACGCCTGAGGCTCTGCTTATCGCTTTCAAACGTTAATGAGAAACTTGTCCTGGCAGCTGTCGCTAAGAGACAGAAATAATGAGTTAAATCTATGCTAGATATCTAAGAAGATGAGTCCATGGACCAAGGGCTGTAAGATAAACCTCTACCAAAGATACCGAAAGCACCTCTCCCGCCCTATGCCAGTCCCACAACCAGCTGCGGCTATTCAAATGCCTCACACAAATTTATGGCACGGAACCCCCCAAATCTATATGAACGTTCACTAAATACCGTGCTGCGACCTGTTGGAAATACAGTTTCCTGCTTTTCTTTCTATCGACCAATGTGGTTGCATGCATCTTGCCTGAACTATATTTCTGAGTTCGGGCAGGATCCCACATTTCTGATCCAATCGGACTCAACGTTAGAGTCTGCTTGAATCCCATTCTTCCCGAACAAATCCAGTCATTGGTTTGTTCGTACTTCTATTGCGTGACCCAGTATTCTCAGTCAGTGGATAATTATTTTCTGGTACGGGGTCCCACTTATTTATGCAGTCGAGTCGGTTCCGGGTAACCTCTATTTCTTATAATTCCACTGTATATATCATAATACCTGTAGTCTATTAGTAAATTAAGCAAACTGAACTTCTTCTCCGTTCTCAGGCAATTCTTACTCCGAAGTCTTCTCTATACTCTAACACGACCAAA